TGTTCCCCATTATTATTTCTTTATTCTTTCTCTTTAAAAACCTAAATCCTCAAGTGCAATTTTTCCGTTTCTGACCAACCTTACAACATCCACATGTTGGATACAGTGCAGTGTGTGTCCCTTTTATTACATTCTTTGTTTTAATTAACTAGCATAAACTCCTTTTCCCACTTTCTGCTTTCTTAGTGGCTCCTGTCTAATCTGGGAACAAGCCAGTCTCATAAATTTCAAAGCTGTTCAACTTAGCAAGTTTCAAATCAGAATCAGCCCTTTTATTTCAGAGTGGAATTGTGTCATGTTATAATTTGCTATGGTTGACTGCACTACACAGGGAAGGAGAGCTGTAAATTTTGATGTAGTGCAGCTGTACAAACTATAATGCAAGTGTCACTTCTAGAATTGGCTAGCTGAGTATTCTTTTTGTCTTCATCTGCCCAAGTGTTAGATCTTATTTCAATGGCATATAATATTCCAGAATTTAACTGTTCACTGAAGTATTTACACAGAAGGTTGATATCTACCTATATACACACCATTCTTAATCTAAACTCTACATATGAAAGCATCAACCTCCTCATATGCTATTGTTCAGTCTAGACACCATGAACCAAACCAAGATTAAGGAAGCTAACATTCTCAGATGTAACCTGAAACCATGGTTGCATGTGTGAGCAGCCATGAGCCACAGTACCCTTCAGTCTTTCCTCTTTCTTGCTCTTGCTGCATGAGAATTTGAACTTACTATTTTTGTGCATGGCCAGCTATGCACAAATAGTTGTATATTAACCCACAAACTATTTTTCAATTTTTTTCTAAGGCTTGGTTTCCTTCTGTTTGTTTTTAGAACTAATACCCTGTTCTGCAGTGCAAAGGTTCCCATAATATTTGGCAGGGAAACCGAATGGAAACTCTCATCTTCATTCCTCTCCACAGGAATGGGAAGGAAGCTTTCCATTTCCCAAGATTGTTAAGTGTTTAAAGTAAAGCATGGAGAAAGACACAGGATAGGGATTTTGTTTTTCATTTTTCTTTCCCTTTAAAGAGAAAGAACATCAGTTTAGATTGTGCTAAACAGAGCCACTTGAGTTCTGGTGTTGTCAATCTTCACATGTAGATGTAAGGATCATTCCAAATGACATAACACATCTCAAAGCAACTTAGACCGAATCAAGCTGGAATAATTGGGATGTCTAGTTGCACAATTTTCAATATATCCTTAGAAGAGGTACTCCTTCAAGTAATGAAAGATGTCTGGCACAGGATAGTACTGTATGCCATAAGCTTCCTTAACCACATGCCTTCATTTTTATGTGCTTTGTTTTGTGATTAATCCTTGGAAAGTAAATACAACTTTAATGTGCAAGTTTGATTGCTAAGGCATTTATCTTTGAGGAAATAACACTGTGGGAGGGTACATACGTTAACTTCCCATAACATCTAGCTGAACCCTAGAGGGTTAAGAGACCATGCAAACAGCAGTATATCACAGTATACTTCAATATTTGGAAGTGCAAATTGCAGAGTTTTGAATTTCTACTAAAATTCCATTTGCTACACAGTAGAAGTACAGAGACTCACATAGGAAAAATTGCTACACGTTCCCCAGAATCCACTCCTTTCTCATTAACTGGCACTTAAAATCTCAGTAACTCCCTCTGAGACATTTGTAAGGGGAAGAATAAAAACATTTTTATTTATAGTACAGACAACGTGTACACCAGCACCAGGAGATGCTCGGGGAGAAGAATTAAGAGAATGAGAACGGGTGAGGGTCCCTCAGAGGAAGATACTGTAAAACCATATCTGCCTCCACTGTGGGCATATAAATCCATATCAGTCTGGGTTCAGGCACCAGCAAGGCATTAGTTGCACTTCAAAATGACCTTTTAAGGGAGGCCAATAGGGATAATCTGACCCTGCTGGTCCTCTTCAATCTATCAGCCACCTTTGATACTGCCAGCCACAGTCTCCTCCTAGATAGAATATCGGGGGCCAGAGACTGGTGGCCTTGTGCTAAACTGGCTCCAATCCTTCCTCGATGGACAACTCCAGAGAGTACAGTTAGGGGAGACTGTTTTGATCCTATGGGTCCTCAACTGTGGGGTCCCACAGGGGTTGATCATCTCCCCAATGCTGTTTAACATTGTGTCATCAGTATGCAGATGATGTGCAGCTCTGTCGCTCAGTTAAATCATCTGCAGCAGATGCTGTCCAGCACCTACAGGGGGGCCTGGAAGCAGTACCAAACTGGACTAGGGGGAACCAGCTGAAACTGAATCCAGACAAGATGGAGATCAAGTTGCTGGCGGGTCCATCTCCTTATCTGAGTGGTGTTTCCTCCAGACTTGATGGATCTGCCCTCCCGTTCAAGGATTAGGTCCGCAGTTTGGGTGTGATTTTAGATTCAGTGCTGACCATGAAAAAACAAGTCTCCAGTGTGACACATATTGCATTTTTCCAACTATGGCATATCACCCATCTGAACCCTTACCTGGACATTAGGTGCCTAACAACATTGGCCCATGCAATGGTAGCCTCAAAAAAGAAAAAAAAAAGAAAAAAAGAATATTGTAATGCATTCAACATGGGGCTTCCCTTGAGGCTGACACGGACGCTTCATGAGGTCCAAAATGCAGCAGTCAGATTGATTACTGGGATGAAAAAATATGACTATATTACCCTGATCTTGGCTAGTCTGCATTGGTTACCAGTCCATTTACATGCCAGGTTTAAAATGCTGGTTCTAACATATAAAGCCTTGAATGGTTTGGGACATTGTTACTTGCTTGAATGTCTCCTGCCGAGTTCAACTGCCTGTCTGACCAGATCCTCAGAGACCATGTGCCTAGGAATATCAACAACTTGAGAGACCCAGAAAACCACAACCAGAAGCCAGACTTTCTCTGCTTTGCTACCTCCCTTGTGGAATGTGCTGCCATAGGAATTATGCCAGGCATCCTTCCTCTGTGCCTTTAAAAAACAATTAAAAACAGCTTTTCAAGGAAGCCTTTGGGGAGGTTGTATGGAGAAGGAACAAGGGTTCTTTTTTGCTGCCTGTCTTTTTTATTTTTCTGTTCTTTTTATTTTAGAATGTGTTTTAATGATTTTTATGATTTTTGCTTTAGTTTCTGTACACTGCTCAGAGTAGCAATTTGCTAGTTTTGCAGGAGTGTGCAGGAGTGGTATAAAAACTGAGTGACTGGTTGATTGACTGAACGAATAAACAAATAAATACAGTTTCCTAAAAATAAGGGACACAATGGTATGTAAATGTTAATACATTTGCAAGCGCCTATCAGTCCAGAATCATGGTAGATAGTTTTTCTCTCTGGCCAAAAACTGTTCATGTAATTCATTAATCAGCCTCCTTTTCTACTTCACAGTTTGAGTTTACAACCCTGAGCTAACTCTGTTTCAGCAGCTGGAAGCAGGCAAAGCTGTCTCAAGCCCAATAGGATACATCTCCTCAGCAAAGATCAGAAAGCATTCTGCCTTTAACCTTTTAACAGTCTTTATTTCCTGCTGCTACCAGACTGGGGTAAGGGGTAGCTATATTCCTAATGCAACAGCTTCTGCATGTTTTTATGCAAGAAATTCCTTCTGTGTGAACCTGAAATATTATCTGCACCTAATATTTATTGGTATCAAAATTAACATATTTCAGAAATTAACATACTTCAAAAGCCTGAAATAGGTTCAGAGGAAAAGGATCAAATATTGAATAAAGAGAAAAATATTTTTTAAACTTTGTATTAAAGAGAGGGGGCATCTGGATCAAGAGACCTTTTGATCTGCAGTCAAATGCTCTACCACTGAGGTATACCCCCAGATGTTTACTCTGTTTTCAGCAAGATGTGCTTCTTTCCTCCTATCACAATTAGTATATGTATCTTAGAACTGCTGAGCTGGAAGGGACCCTATGGATCACCAATTCCAGCACCTGCCAAGGAGGCACAGTAGGGAATTGAACACCCAACCACTGGCTTCCTAAACCACTACCCAGCAGTTCTTCTAAAATCTTGTCTTTCAGTCCGATTCTGCTGCTTCCTGTGGAGCAGAGACTGCCAGTTTTTACATCTACTCATCCTGCGTTTAATGAATCTGAAAGTGTTACCTCTGGTTGCCTTTATGCCTTCAGCTGATAAACTCAGGCACTGTGCACTGGGGATGTGTGTGAAATTGGTGGTCAGAAAGCCAAATGCAGGAAGGTGCCATTGTTTTACAGGCTATGGTCCCAAAACTCCACATCCTGACTCTCCATAATGCATAGCTGGAAGATCTAAACACTTTTCTTCTAGATTGCATTTCTATCGCAACTAGTACACAGGTGTCAACATTAGTATGATGTCAGCTGTAAGTAAATCAATGGATTTTACATAAGTATTGGCTTACAATTCAGTGGTTCCCCTGTAATAAGATATTGGCCATAGTAAGCGAAGTTCAAAAAACTACTGTAATTTCATTGTCATTGAGTCCAATTGTGTTGAATGAGGATAAAGTACCAACTCCAAGGCAGAATTCCCCTGCTCTCCATTTGTCTCACAAAATGGCTACCCAATGGAAGACTCCAAGAAACATCTTAAAAAAAACAACACCATGTATAAGATAAAGGATGCATATGTGATTTATTTGTATGTGTGTGTATTTCAAGTGAGTTAACTGCAGTTAATTCATTTGTAATATCCAAATATCTCAGCAGACCCCCCAAATGCTGTCTGAAAAACGGTAAGAGTTATTTGAACGAATAAAATGATCTTGTACAAGAGGTTAAGTGCCCAGCTTAAATGAGGCCGTCACCTAAACACCCAGAACAGAAGCAGCCTCCTTCTCAGGAGAGCAATTCCTGACATGCAGAAGGACCGCTACACTGTCAAGAGAGAAAGGGGCGGAGCTTCCTCCTCTGGCCCTTCAATCAGACCGGGGAGGGAGAAGAGGGAGGGAGGCAGGGCCCTTTCACAGGCTGCCAAACCCAATGGGCGGGGACTACGCCTAAGACGTCATCAAGCGCTGCCTCCGCCGCGGAAGCCGGTAGGCGAGTGGGGGAAATCAAACCCAAAACAAAAGTCGGTGCTGGTGCGTCAGGTAAACAAGGGCACGCCGCGTTTGGTTGGTCTCGCGCGCTGGGGAGCGTGTGTGTGCGTGTGTGTGGAGCGGCTGTTTGTGCCCAGCCGGTTCCATCTCTGGCGAGCTGCGGGGGGGAGTGTGTGTGTGAGAGAGGAGCGGCTCCCAGAGGGGGAAAAGGGGTGGCGGGACATCCCTGCCTGTCTCGTAGCCAGAATTCCCCCCCCTCCTTCCAATTCATCGGTCCGCGGCATCTCCTTCCAAATCCTGAGGGGGGGGCATCTCCATGCCAAGAGTTCCTCCTGCCCCGTTCCCCCCCCCCCGCTCCGGCCGTGGCTCCTTCTGGGGATGGGGAGGGAAGCGCGTGAAAGCAGCCGCCGCTGTTGCTCCTCTTTCTGTTTTGCCCACGTTCAGGGGTTTACCCGGCCTTGAAGACTCGGGGCTTGTCACGATGCCCAGGGAGATTCTGTGTCAGAACCGGCGGCCTCTCCTGACCTGCCTTCTTTCGGGGGCAGTGCAGCGTGCAAAGTTGGCAGCTGAGGGTGTGGCCCGCCTCACCTTTGACTGGCTTGCCTCTCGTCTCCCTCTGAACGGTCCGGTAGTGGTGAATTTTGCCCAGCCTCCCCTTCTGTGAGAAGGAGAGGGAGAGTGAGAGGAGGCAACCCATGCCTCCACTGGATTTCGCAGCCTTTCTCCCCCCCCTGCAAAAATGGGGCAAAGGATGCTCCTCTGTTCTCCTACTTCCGCAGCATGTTTTTTTACTCAAGCATCATCTCTCCTTGACCCGTGGCAGCCAAAAGGATTTTTATTTATTTATTTATTCTATTTATATCCCTCCTCTCTGGTCATTGTGACCACTCTAGGCGGCTTACAACACATAATACGACAATAATTATATAAAAAAGGAATTATTACTCTAAATAGACAATTCTTCAAGATGGAGAAAAAAAATGAAAAATAAACCACAAAAGAAAAAGAGAAAGGGAGAGAATCAGAGATTAACTGGAGGGAAGGCCTGCCTAAACATCCATGTTTTTAATGGTTTTTTTAAAAAAAAAACCTGAGGGAGCCGCGCGAATCTCCAGAGGTAGGTTGTTCCAGAGGCGAGGAGCCACCGCCGAGAAGGCCCGGTTTCTTGTTCTTTCCTTCTGGGCCTCCCTTGGCGTCAGGCTCCTCAGCCTCACCTCCTGGCTCGTGCGGGTGACACGGGTAGAGCTTGGTGGGAATAGGTGTTCCGCCAAGTATCGAGGCCCTAAACCGTTTAGGGCTTTATAAGTAAGCATCAAGACTTTGAAGTCAATGTGGAACCAAATGGGCAGCCAATGCAGCGTGGCTAGAATAGGAGAAATGGTTGCATGCATGCAACCAGAACATTGAAAAACCATAGCAGATCTGTCTGTATACAATTTCAAGCTATTGACATGGTGGTGTTTTCTCGCTCCGCTAAGGAGTCTGGCCGCCGCATTCTGCACCACTTGGAGTTTCCATGTCAACTTCAAAGGAAGCCCCACATAGAGCGCATTACAGTGGTCTAATCTTGAGATTACAAGTACATGTACCAAGGTAGTGAGCGCCCCCGTATCGAGATAGGGTCGCAGCCAGAGATGGAAAAGGGCAGTACAGACCACCGACGCCACCTGAGTCTCCATGGTGAGCGCTGGGTCCAGATGGATTCCCAAGCTGCAAACCCCATTCTTTGCAGCAAGGGTGACCCCCCCAAACGAGACAGTCACCCAAGCCACTGATAGTGGGGGCACCCACCCTCAGGACCTCCGTCTTATCCGGGTTCAGCCTCAGCCCATTTTCCTGCATCCATTGCAGTACAGCCCCCAGACAGTGCTGAAGGGACAGAATGGCATCTGCAATTGGTGAAAAGGAGATGTAGAGCTGGGTGTCATCAGCGTACTGATGACATGATGCCCCACACGGCCTCATTTAGATATTAAATAGCATTGGGGAGATAATCAACCCCTGTGGAACCCCACAATTGAGACTCCACGGGGCCGAGACATTCTCCCCAAGCTGTACTCTCTGGGGACGGTCCCCCAAGAAGGAATGGAGCCAGGCGAGTGCCGAGCCACCAATTCCCAACTCAGAGAGCCTCCCGAGGAGGATACCGTGGTCGATGGTATCAAAGGCCGCCAAGATGTCGAGAAGGCCCAACGGAGATGTTTTATCCCTGTCAGCCTCCCTCAACAGGTCATCATACAGGGCGACTAATGCCATTTCTGTACCATGGCGCGGCCTGAAGCCTGACTGAAACGGATCCAGGGCATCTGTTTCATCCAAATGAGCCTGAAGCTGGTCAGCCACCCCCCTCTCCACCACTTTGCTGATGAAAGAAACATTGGCAACGGGCCTATAATTGCCAATTTCGTCCGCTGCCAAATTAGGTTTCTTTCTTATGGGCCTAATGAGTGTCTCCTTGAGGGCAGGAGGAACCCTGCCCTCAAGGAAAGACCCATTAATTATTGCTGTGGCCCATTCTGTTGTTATAGGCCTGGCTTCTTTGATTAGCCAGGCCGGGCAAGGGTCAAGGGAGGAGGTGGTGGCACAGCAGCGATCAAGCGCTTTGTCCACAGTATCCGGTGTTTAATGGTGCTGTCCAGGGGAAAGGAACAAAAGACCATAGTGGTCTGCTTGCTTGCCCTCCTCTTGTTTGTTTGCTGCCTTCTGGTGTGGAGGATTTAAATGTGCATCCACTGTTTTACACCATGGAGGGAGGAGGATAGAGTGCAGTAAAATGGGTGGGAGTTGTGAGGCCCTGGCTGCTCTTTCAGTGGTTAGCCCTCTGCATTGTACTGTCCATAGATTTTTCAGCTCTTCTCTCTTTTGCTATGCCTCTCGGGGGGAATGAGCATGAGAAGAAGCTGGACGAGATGCATGCTCCTTTCTCTTTTATTCACCCTTCCCTACCTTTGGGTGGAAAACTCAAAATTCAGAGGATGGAGTGGGAGTGGAGGTGAGAATTAACTGGGAGATTAATGAAATTAATAAGCCCCTCTCTCCAATTCTTTTCAAACCTCTTTTGAAATGTCAGGAAATAGGAGAAGATGTTGTTTTTTACTCTCTTATTGTTGGTCTACATACACACAGCCAGCTTTTTGGCCTTCAAAACTACTGTTGATATGACACGCCCTTGCTTCAAACATTTATTTTGTGTTAGGTATGATTAGGCCCCATTTTACTGCCCTGATCCTGTGAGGTAGAATTGAACTAAGGTGGGTGAGAGTCTTCCCCCCCCCAGCCCCTGGTAGCCCGGAAGTTTCACTTTGTAGTCTGCTCTGTGTCGGCATTACTTAGGATCAGATCACACAAGGTGGCAAATGCATATTTCTTTCTTTTACAGCATTATCCTTCTAGGCATACAAAGCTTTTGGGACTAAATGCTTGAGAAATCAGACATGTGAATCTGAGAAAAATCTCTCGCCCAATCAGCTGCAAAATAAAACTTTGCCAAGGGTGGATTGAAGCAAGCTCATGTAGTAATGTTTTGTGTATTGTATAGTGTAGCTCTCATTCTCAATCCCTTCTCTTTTTTTCATTTTTTTCATTTTTTAACATGAGGGGTGATAAAAGGAAAAAGGGAGTTGGGATTGATGAGGAAGAGGGGATACAATAACATACTGATATCCAATCTATACCTATTGCCATATCAAGATTTTAAGTTATTCTATTTACTCTTTTCTGCCTTGTAGATAAAGTTCTCATTTCAATATATGTTACTCAGCTGCTGCCTGTTGATTCAGTCCACTTGTTAAATAGATCCCATCTTTCTGTTGCCTTTTGCAGGGGTTGATCTTTCATGACTTCTGATAAGATATCCATTTCGGCTATTTCCCATATCTTTTCAATAAGATCTTCTTGTTTCGGTACCGTCGGGCTTTTCCAATTTCTAGCATATGCCTTTCTCATGGGCTGGGGAAATGTTGCCTTCTGCTTCACAAGTTTCTTCATTTCCTTGCTAAGGAATCAAGGCACTACAGTGGTGCCTCGCTTGATGCGGATAATTTGTTCCGTTGAAATCACTGTTAAGCGAAATCCTCATCAAGCGAAACGAAAAAGCCCATTGAAATGCATTGAAACTGGTTCAGTGCATTCCAATGGGCTGAAAACTCACCTCCAGTGAAGATCCTCCATATGGGCGGCCATTTTCGGTGCCTGTAAAGCGGGGAATCCGTCCTGAAAACACAGCGGGAAGCCATTTTGCACAGTGGGCGGCCATTTTAGAACCACCAATCAGCTGTTTCAGAATCATCGTTTAGCGAAAAATCGGTTCCTGAAGCAAGGAACCAATCATCGTTAAGCAGATTTTCCCCATAGGAATATCGTTTTGTGATCGCAAAAACTTCATCGTCAAGCGGTTTCGTCATTTAATGAGGCAATCGTTAAGCGAGGCACCATTGTACTTTACCTCTTTGTTACAAACTCTACATTCACAAAAGTGTGCAGCTACAATCCTATGCATTCCAGGGCATACATTAATAACACAATCCTATGCATGCTTATTCTAGTAAGATTGATAGAATGTTTTCTATAATAAACAGGTGTTTTATTTCTGCCAATGAAGTAAATCTCACCAGTCACAATGGATGGAATCCTGTTGCGAACTGTGCCCATGCAACAAGAATGACATCAATGACAGAGGTACAGTGGATCCTTGACTTACAGACGGCTTGACTTACAGACTTTTTGAGTTACAGACTTCGCTGGCCGCAAAATTTAGGTTTGACTTGCAGCCTGAGAATTGACTTACAGACCAGAAAAAAACCAAAATGGAACAAAAACGGCCTGTTACGGGATTAATCGGTTTTCAGTGCACTGTAGGTCAATGGAGACTTGACCTATAGACTTTTTGACTTGAGAACCGCCTTCCAATATGGATTAAGTTCTCAAGTCAAGACCCCACTGTATATGGCCACCGATTAAAGTCTTCCTTTTGCAATTTCAGGGTCTACACAGGTTGCGCAATGCAACAAAGTTGAATGCACCCAAAATCAGAAAAATGAATCCTTTAATCAGTGGCAATATGCCATTGCCTTTTATTTATTTATTTTACTTTTTATTCTGCCCATCAAACTACTCTGGTGGACCTTCCCAACAGGATTTGGCCAATGTACCTTAAGTAATGAAGAAATTAATATATTTTTACCCTATCTTTCTCTCTCAAAAGGACCTAAGGTGGCTTACATTATTAAAAGATAGTATTTAAAGCTAGCAACAGTGAGTATACACATACTAAAAAGGATCAAATGAATGTCATGCTAAAAAACATAAGCAACACCAAAACATTCAATGCAGCAAGGCACAACAATCCATTTTGAAACCCCACTCAGTCAGCCAGTCATTAATGGAAGCCCTGTCTGAATAGTAAGATTTTAACCTGCTTGCAGAAGGACAGCAAAGATGGGGCTTGTGGGAGGAAGTTTCAAAGTTGGGGAGCAGCAACAGAGAAGTTCCTATTCCATGTACCCACCAAACATGCCTGTGAAGATGGAGGGACTGAGAGGAAGGCCTCTTGTGATGGTCATAACACTCAAGCAGGCTCATAAGGGAAGATATGGTCCTTACATTTGGCCCAAGTTATTTAGGGCTTTATAGATAGAACCAGCACTTTGAATTCTGCCCAGAAATGGATTGGGAGCCAGTAGAGCTGCTGGGACAGGGGAGTTGTATGTTCCCTGTAATCAGCCCCGGTTAGCAATCTGGCTGTGGCATATTGGACCTGTTGGTGTTTCTGAGCACTTTCCATAGGCAGCCCCATGTAGATACATTACAGTAATCCAGCCGAGATGTAAATAGGGCATGTGTCACCATGGCCGGATCAGACCTCTTAAGAAACAGGCACAGCTGGCTCACTAATTTTAACTGTACAAATGCACTCCTGGCCACTGCTGAAACCTGGGCATCAGAAATGAATCCAGGAACACACCCAAGCTGTGCACCTGTGTTTTCAGAGGGAATGTAATCCCATCTAGCACAGGCTAGCATCCCTATTCCTTCATCTGCATTTCAACTGACCAGGAGCACCTCTGTCTTGTCTGGTTTAAGTTTCTGTTTATTCACCCTCATCCAGTCCATTACTAATACCAGACACTGACATAGAACCGAAACAGCTTCCTCAGATGGCAAAGATTCCTTTCAAAATTGTATCTTGCATATCTTCATGTGATGACAGAAATTTTTCGTACTTGGTAGGTTCTCTACATTTGCCATTAGTTGTCAACCAATCCTTTGTCCAGGTGTCTAACTGAATAAGATTATACCATGATAGTTTATTAGTTTGAAGTTTAGACATAATCAACTCCTTCAATCTCATTTTACACATCCAGTCCTTCGATCTCATTTTACACATCCAGTCCCAGGGATTGGGTTTAGATTATACGTGACTAGCCCAGTGGTTTTTTCCTACTCTCTTCAGTTTAAGCTTGAATTTTGCTATAAGCTGATGATCAGAGCCACAATCCGCTCCGGGTTTTGTTTTTGCTGACTGTATAGAGCTCCATCTTTGGCTGCAAAGCATATAATCAATCTGATTTCGGTATTGCGCATCTGGATGTCCATGTGTAGAGTCACCTCTTGCGTTGCTGGAAAAAAGTGTTTGTGATGACCAGCTTGTTCTCTTGACAAAACTCTATTAACCTTTGCCCTGCTTTGTTTTGAACTCCAATACCAAATTTACCTGTTGTTCCTTTAATCTCTTGACTCCCTAGTTTAGCATTCAAGTCCACTATAATGAGAAGAACATCTTTCTTTGGTGTCAGTTCTAGAAGGTGTTGTAAGTCTTCATAGAATTGGTCAATTTCAGCCTCCTCAGCATTGGTGGTTGGTGCATAAACTTGGATTATTGTGATGTTGAAAGGTCTGCCTTTGATTCGTATTGAAATCATTCTATCATTTTTGAGATTGTATCCCAATACAGCTTTTCCCACTCTTTTGTTGACTATAAGGGCTACTCCATTTCTTCTATGGGATTCTTGCCCACAATAGTAGATATGATAAGCATCTGAATTGAATTTGCCCATCCCCATCCATTTTAATTCACTGATGCCCAGGATGTCAATGTTTATTCTTGCCATCTCCTGTTTGACCACATCCAGTTTACCATATATAATATTTTTTTATATTAGGAATACATAAACCTCCATTTTTTGAGTCTTGTACTCAATATGCCTTCTTTTTTCTACAAACAGTAATTGCTCCACCTTCAGTCTTCTATCTTTTATTCTTCTCTCATGCTGTCCTGTTGCCATACTTGTGATATTTTATAAACTACACGTGTTTATGCCCATCCCAATTATTTATCTCTCAAGTCAGCGTAGCACACAAGGGCCTACCAGCAACTTCGGATATGGCTGAGAGACCCTTCATAGTGTTTGGGATTAGCACAATGACTGTTTATGTATTTGAAGTATTTTTACCTCACCTTTCACTCACAAGGCTCCAAAAGTGGATTATGTAACGTCAGTGAGAACCACAATATGTCATTAAAACATTAGACTATGTAAAGAGTTTATATTACAGTAATGATGGTTCACTTCTACTCTGCTGTCCAGTTGGTTCCAGTGGCCTCTTTGAGCAGCAGTGATGGAGAAGAGGCGCAATCTTAGCATGTTGAAGGCAGTAGGGGATTAGTCATTTGTACAATTGACAGATGAGCCCATGTAAAAGAACCCAACCAGAAAGGTGTTTTCAACAATTAACAAGAGTACTCTTTTTGTATGGATGTATTGTTAAATGTTAAATAAATGTGTTGTTATGCACGTCTCAGTGTGGTTTGTTGGAATGTTTTAATACTGTACTTTATATGGTCCCCCCCACTGTAAAAGTTAGAACTGACTTTACAGTAGTTTATTATTCCCATGTAAAAGAACCCAACCAGAAAGGTGTTTTCAACAATTAACAAGAGTACTCTTTTTGTATGGATGTATTGTTAAATGTTAAATAAATGTGTTGTTATGCACGTCTCAGTGTGGTTTGTTGGAATGTTTTAATACTGTACTTTATATGGTCCCCCCCACTGTAAAAGTTAGAACTGACTTTACAGTAGTTTATTATTTTATTATNTTCTCTTTTATGAAAATAAAAACAGTCTCTTGATTTTTCTTAGCTTCCTGTCTATCTCCCCCCCCCCCC